AGGCGGAGGTTGAAATTCGAAGGAGAAGGAGAGGAAGCCAGAATTTCAGATCGGAGGAAAATGTCCCAGAATGGACAGGCTCTCAAGCTGAACAACGCACGGAGACTGAGAGAGACAGAGAACAGGAAAGGAAGAAGCTCGAGTTGGTTGCCAAGTCGTCTGAAACGCCTGAACAGTGGAGAACTACAATAAAAGTGAGAGTAATTTTTGATTGGATGATTGGCGAGGGCTCTGTTGTGGTTTGCTCCTTCTTTCCTGTCAAACATCTATAGTCTTCATCTCTGCTACTTCTTTTTTCTTTGTATGTTAGTCTCTAGTAATACCCCTAATCTTCGGTATATACGGCCTTATTGTTTTGCAAATGCTGTTAAACCAGTACTAAAACTCAAAAGTACGAGACCAGCGCTCTACATCCCATTAATCCCCGATGGACCTGACGGGTCAAGTCGAAGAAGTCATAATCTTTGACGTATCGACGGGGACCTTGCACCATTACCACCAAAACGTATCTTTGACAAAATAATATACGTGGTAAAAAATCAAAATTTTCAAGACAGACATCGTGGTAGCAAAACTTAGGTAGGTTCACTACTTAATTATAACACTTTAAAAGTTATTATTACCCCTAATAAGCAATGCAGGTTTCAGTTACTTCGATTCTGGCTGACATAAAGAATAATGTAGAGATAAAAAAAATATATAGCATGAAAGAAACGACAGAGTGCCCCGTCTTTGAAGACACGTTTCTCAAAACAAAGAGGACGGTACATATGTCCCTGTCATTTATCTGCATTTTGTCGTGGTTGAAAGGTGCATCTTTGAGAGACATTTGGGAAGGTGTTAAAATCGAAAATTCTCAAAATTTGGACTTAAGCGGATTATTTGCGACAGTGACGCCATTCAGTTGCAAACCATGTCAAGCAAACGTCATTTCACCTGCTCTTTCTCGTGTCCCTCTCCATTCTTATTTGTTTCTACTCTTGTAACCGCCACCACTAACAGCACCATTTCTCTGTATACTTCGTTTCATGTTCGCTGTTCTAACCGTTTCTGGTCCTTGTGCTTTTAAATTCTTTTTTTTTTAAATTGTCTGCAGGCAACGTAGTGCTCCCTACTACTTCTTCCTCTTTATTTAACCCTTAACTTCTCTATTCGCTCATTCCAGTACGCTTGGTATATAGGCCTTTCAAAGAAAATGTATAGGTACTTTAGGTCATATATCCACCCTTCCTTGTTTGTTTGAGTAAGGAGACGCAAATCGACACAATGATGGGTATTTAGTGCTGGGGGGAAAAGTAAGACAGACTGACAGAAACATCAGAGGGAAAGAAAAGAATCATAAGGCTTATACCAGAGGCGCCAACCTTTCCCGTCCCTAGTGAATTGGAGTTAGGGAACGGTTGAGGTAAATCATAAGACCAAGACACTGAACTCTGACACTCTTGAAAGTGCAACCCCAAGATTTGTTGAACAACACATCATGAAAACCCATACTCATTTTTAATTGCGTTAATGTCTTATATTATTGTTGTGAGCCTTTTTTGTTGTTGTGGTGTGCAGCCTGTGCTTTTGTTCCCCCCGCCTTCCTCTTATTCGTCTCTCGGTCAAGTGTTTCGCCTATCTTAATACGAAGCTAAAATACGATTTGAAAAGTAAAAGTGTTAACGCCCCTATCAACACAGTCAGGTGATTCAGCGTCCGTCTCCAACTGGACCAAATCCGACTTACACGGCAAGAATTTTACGAAGCATGTCGAAACGAACATTCCATATTATTCTTAATCAAACATCTGGATCTATGTTAGCCTATTACCCTAACCGTTAATTCTACATTCATCTTTACTTAAACTCCGACCTCGTTTTCTTTGCCTCAAACAATATGCCTACCAATGTGTGTACTTCTAATCTGATTAAGTTTGTACAGTATGGTAGCCCTTATTCGGTTTTTGTTTCACAGGCACAATGCGACAAATTTACTCGTATATTATTCCGATGAGATGTCAATTTGACAGCCCCCGGTTTTTTTAGTGGACGTGGTGCCCCCTGCCCCCCCC